CATGCGTCGGACCTTCAAGCAGCTCTAATATACTTAAAGGAGGCGTCCCAACAAATGTACAGAATATGCAGGTAATATTAGTGAACAGAGAAGGATCTGCAATCACCTCTGTCAAATTCTGGATGCACCAGTTCGTCCTAAGATGCCCTTGTTGCTTTAAGTACAAGCATACCCAATTCAATTCCACACACTTTTGCGTCACCATATGCTTGCAGATCTGAAAACACGTGGAATAAAAAAAGACGTGACGCCACTTTTGTGTCTTCTGTTCAGACTGTCATATAAATGTAGCCTCAGATCTTTGTAAAGTGTTGACAAAGTGTGTATTCTGGATCCCAAGCAGCAAAGAGAACAGAACCTCCAGCAATATCTGCAATGTCAGTCTAAGTGTAAAATGGTATCACTTGTACAATTACACCAGTTATTGCCATTATAGATCTTTTTTGTTTGTTTGTTTGTTTTGTTTTTAATGACCCAATTAATGAGCAACTACATCTGTTTAAACATTCTCAACAACACAAAAGAGAAGCTGTTCATGTATTTTGATTTCTGATTTAACTTCTTAGCCACCTATCCTGAGCTACAATAACAACTTCCCCTAAAGAAATATGTTATGGTGTTGAGCAGTTGACCTTCCCTGACCAAGTCATTTTAAAGCACAAACTCCAGGCGAGAGGATATGACCTGCTGAGAAGGCTAATCTCACAACACAACAGGGGGCAACTGGACAATAGAACAATCGGAACATGCATGGGGCATTTGGATCACAATCTTTGGCAAAAATAAAAATGCTATCTGTACTGGAGCAAGGCAAATTTAACTCAAGATCGGAAAAAGCAGGTACAGGGCCTTTAAGATGACGTTCAGTCCAGTGACTCTTCAACAAATCATCTCAAAAACAACAGAAAAACAAGAGAGTCTGTTTCTTCCACACCCAAAAGTGAAGAACACAACATGGAAATATGAGTCCAGAAAAAATATAAAGCTGAGAATATAGAGGTCCAAAACTGACTCTTGTGAGCTTTTAGTCTTGTTATAATGTTGTTAACTCATCAAAAACATACCTGGAGTTGAGTTTTGTTTCATTCACATATGCTTCAGTAACCTGAATTATTAGTCTGTTTACATCTCCAAAGTTCAAAATGCTCTGTTCCACCTTGTGATGTCATGTAGTGGAAGTTAACAGCTAATTTTTTTATTTTTTGTTCAGTAGAGATTGGCAGTTCCAGGGCTGAAATGATCCAAAATGTTTCTGTTAAAGGTGAATGGAGTTCAGAAACACAGTGGAGCACTTCCTGTATTACGACATGACATCACAAGGTGGAATGGAGTGTTTTCCGTGAGAGAAAAACGCTGCCTAAATATGCAAGATTTGTGAGTTAAATGTGTTTGAATGAAAAAAAAAAAAAAAACACAACTCCATGGATGTTTGTGATGAGGAAACATTATAACATACAGAAGACAAGAAAATAGCACAATATAGGCCCTTTAAAAATGTCAAATGTCAATGATTTTTCCCCAAATTCCTGAATATTCCTGAAACTATAACATTTTCCTCAATTCAGACTGAACCTTTTCTTGAACCTTTTGGAGTACAAACTAATGGCTGGGCACTTTGTGAAGGTGAGACTGTTTTCTGATTGATTATACATGGGAACATCAGGAAAATCAGATTTCAAATACTGCTAAAATATTTTTGTTGGAAAATACAAGGAGTAAAGCTGATGGGAGTTACAGGCTAAGATTGAGAATTTGTTGGATTTTGGCAATTCCCATGTCAAAGTTGAAGTAAATATCACTCAAAGTTTTATTTACTATGAATGGTTTAATTACATTCAAAAACAATGCTCAGGTGACTACTATGATTACTTCTAAAACATTTCCTACATTAGACAACTTCTGGATAAATGAGGGATTACACGGTTTCATGAAAGGACTGTATTTTCTCATTTGTGGGTTGGTGTACAAACTGATCCTGATAGTTAATTTGACTGATTTTGACAGATTTTGGCTGATTTTTTACTGATTTTTACTCATTTTGAAAATAACAGGGTCAGAACCTTCCCTGTGTTTACTTGCCCAGGAGTTAGATAGTTCCATTTTCTCAGATGGGGACAAGAGGGAATAAATGCAGACAAATTCAAATGTCCTGCCTGAGGGATGTCAGAATTATAATCAGTTTCATTTGACTCAAACACATTTTTGCAAAGTCTGAACTCCAAAATAACACTTTTTTCTACCCATGGGGGTAAGCTGTAGATGTTTATCACTGACGGTATGAAACAGTTGGATCTTGACTCGATTGGGAATTTGATTAGTTGCACAGAAATACCAAATCTACTGAGACAATTTCTTGACTTCTAAACTTTTCTTGATACATTCATTTTTCTAGGGCAAAGACTAAATAAAGTAAAACTATAATTTATTTCAGTTAAGCACACGCTGTATGGCAAATAAAAAAAGAATAAAACCCAATTGCATCTAGTGTTTTTTAAGTTATTTATCATTTTAAATAATTACAAAACAACTCTAAAAAATATTACATGGTGCCAACTTTGTCCACACTGCAAAAACTAAAATCCAGCCAAGTTGAGATGACTCGGATTAAAAAAGTTTTATAATGATTTGAGATTTCACTTGACAAGTAAAATGATCTACCAATAGGACAAGACTTTTTATACTTAAAATATGAAAATACATCTTGCTACACTTAAGAAGATAAGAAAAACAACAACTCTTTGCACTTAAAATAAGAACCAAAACTGAATGTTGCTTGAATTAAGAAAAACACACTTACTCCATAATTTTACTTGTCAAGTTGAATCTACTCAAATAAAAAATGTTCTTAATTAAATAAATGTAAGTGTGTTGTGTGTGTTAAATAAATGTAAGTCAGTAATAAGATATCAGCTGGACCAAATATCGACTGAACCGATATCCAATCCATCAAAATGCTCAATATCGGTGCAGATATCTGATACCAATATTGTATCGGAGCATCCTTATTCAAGACAACACCTCCCTCTGAATAATCTGTAAAATGTATCAAACTGAACATTTAGATTTACAAGAAACTTTTCAAATATTTGATGGAACTTTGTGACCTGCTGCGACGTGGACTTGATTTGAGTTCATCACAACCTTTCTGGAAGAATTTCTTTAGCTCATTTTAAAAGTCAAACTGTTCTTTTTCCATTTGCGCTTCGTGAAATGTCAATGCTCTGTTTAGACCAAACTATAAGAACACCGAGAGTCAAGGTACCTCCCCCAAAAAATGAGCTATCGACTGTTTGAAAAGGTCCAGTCAGCGTTTATGTCCACCCAGATCAGACAGAAGCAAAAAAGTACAAAAGATTAAAAAACAACTTGTGCTGACTCCACCGGATTTGACTCGATTCCCAATAGAAACTAAAGACTGGATAGGGGCTGGTTTTATTAACTGCTCCCCTTGAGGGCTTTCTACCGGAAGAGGTCAGCAGTTCATCAGATATTATTTTAAAGCCCCATTGTGTAGCTTTGTGTTTTAGCCAAAAACACAAAGTTGTTTTGGATATTTTTATTGCACACACACTAGGTCAGGAGAAGAAGGTCCTGCCTGTCACCATAGAAATATTGTTCCTCTGGCTATGACATTATATTTAAAAGAACAGAAAGATTTTGATTTAATTTTCATAGACCTGATCTTTGACGTAACAACTGCAATGCAGATTTATTCTTAATTACAAACATATTGCATGTGATGTCCCATTTATTATGTTACAATTTAGTGTTTTGATACTCGAGGCTATAATCCCATAAGAAAGTCTCATATAAGTCTTTCAACTGAGCAGTTTCAATGCTGAAATCCTGAGAAATCCAGTTGGTTCAAACCTAAAAGGACTCTAAAAGGATTTGAATCCTCGGTACCAAAACCCCAGCATCTGCAGCCAATCATTTATCAGCCTGAGTTCAGTTGTGGCCTCTTTACAAAGGTTTCGACTACATACTGTTCCTTTAACTTTCTATTAACACTATTGTGCCACCTCCAAAAAGTTACACTGTTTTCTTTAACCATAGCAACTGTATCTTTTCATAAAATACAAGGTTAAAAGAGGTAAATGCATCATTGGTTGAATGGTTTGTTGCTCCCATTAAGCTCATTTTAATTGCTGAAAGGCTCTTTGGTAATGTTGAGCTAAATATGCTTAAGTGCTTCGTCTCCCCATCCAACCATGTTCTAACTTAGTATTACATCCATTCACACAGAGAGTAGAAACTACACGAGCACAGTAGGGTGACTGAGGGCAGGCGCGGAGCTGCATTAAAAAAGTGACCTTTATCACTCATATGATGGGCTGACAGCCTGTTCTAAAAGGTCTGTTTTTTCACACCGAGTCTGTAGTGAAAGCAAATTGTGAGAGTAGTGCCCTCTACTGGCAGCTATTATGTACTGCAGTGACTTGATGGCAGGCTGAGTGAGGCATTTGTCCACTTTGAGTTTACAGCTAAGGGAATACAACATAGTATACAGAAAGAAGTGACAAATGAATAATAGTTTGGAGTATTTCAGACATAAGAAATGATCAACGTTGAATTAGGTCAATAAAACATAGTAATCTTCTAACAAGCAAATAAAAATAGGCCTATCTTGTGCCAAAAAGGATACAAAATGAGTAAATAAGTCCTTATGACAAAAACAGGGCTAATTAAGATTTAGATTTTAATTGGCATAACATTGCTTTAAAACAAGTGTTTGAGTGTTGCAGCATGTATATGTGCGTAAAAGACCTGTGCGTAAAATGTTGCGTTTTTATTAGGACATTTACTAGCCTTTTGTAATTACATAAGTTCTGTTTTGTCTTCTAGGCGCTGGGGAATCTTCAAGAAAAGACACTCTCACAGACACTAAACAAAGAAATCCAGCAAGAATTGAGTAGGCGGTTCATTTCTGCCCACTCCAGCCAAGAAACTATTTTATTGGTCACCGCGCAAAGCTCCACCTCGTTCATTGGCTAGTCTCGCTGCCAGACAAAAACTTCTTGGCAGAGCTCCGCTGCGTCGGGATCTGGGACCCAAATCAACTGAAACAAAACTTGTGACAGGAGAAAAGTTGATGCCGGAGCTTTTAAAGACTTCAGACGGCCACATGAAGGTAAGAAACGGAACTAAATAACTTAAACGCGCGTAATACCAGCGTAAAGAGACACGTGAGGTTACAGGCTGTGCGTCTGGACCAAGTTTTGACCCAAATAGAAGATGGTTAAGAAATCGAGGTTACAGGCCAATCGGTGTGTATGTTAGACTTAGACATCACAGAATCGTACATTTGCAACTTAAATAGGCTATCTTGCTTGTGTAATCATCAACTTGGCGTTCATAAAAAGGGGAAGACAACAAAAGTAGCCGGTCACTTCTTTGAACTCGAGTTACACCGTTGCAGTCTACAGCTGTTTAGACCTAACGGGGCGTCCATGAACTGCATCCTCCGTATTTGCGTATGATCCTTGCCTTTATTGCTTTTAAATGACTCATATAGGCCTACTTAAAGCTTACGAGATGGGAAGGGAGCACGTCGACTGTGTCCGTGGCCTACGTAATAAATAGGTTGGCCCGCAAATCCAATTTAGTTTGCAGTCATGCTGCTGCTCAGGCATCCTGATTAACACAAGGGAAATCATTAGTCCTTGTTAGCCCTGGACTAGGATCAACTGTGTAATGCGTTTTAATGGTTTGTATTACACACTGCATTGCATCGTTGTTGTGTTGTCTTGTCTTGCCATACTTATATTAAATCAAATATTTATTTAAAGGTGCACTGTGTAACTTTTCTGGTATGAGTCCAGCACCTGGTTGTGTCCGTGGATGCTAGAGAGATTGCTTTCCCTGGAATGTACAACAGTATGGTATGTGTATTTCTGTGTTTGCATAGAAATATATAAGTTTAATATCATACTGTGAAAAATTCCAGGCAGCGCAACAACCCTCCATCTGGAAAGTTACACAGTGCACCTTTACGTGTTTTTATTAGCCTTATTATTTATTCATTTGTACACCAGAGCATTGTATGATTTCACAAAGCAGGTGTATTGTTTGAAGTTGTATATTTTTTTAATTAATATAGGCCTATTTTCTTTGATACATTTCCAAAACATGTTCCAATAAATTACAAATCACTCATATTTTATCCCAGTCTGTTCCCTGCTAGGCCACGAAGACCAATGCACATTTTTAAATTCTTTTCCATATTAGATTTGGTTAAAATAAGTGTTACGCATTGGTCGTTTTTTGCGACTATAATCCACCGCCACACTTTCTGTTAGTCCCATTATTGCCTCACCATGAGCTGCTAACTTAAAAACTACCCACAGCCCCATAATAACGGTTTTATAATGACCCCTGATATGATGTGGGCTGCCTGGTTTTATTTTCTTTTTATACTGAGTGCTCATGAAGTCACTGCTCCCAAGCCAGCTGTACTTTTGTGCCTGAGTGAAGCATGTGTTTTTGCAGTGGAGGCTACTACTGTGTTTAATGAGTGACCGAGACAAAGCACTTGGCCAACCAGCTTTAAACTAACAGGACTAAAAAGATTACTGTCCCAATGAGTTTGAAAGCTCTGGAAACGTGGGAAAATCTAAAATTCTCATGCCATGTTTGTATTTGAAACCATTATATTTGATTATAGGCATCCAAACAATTATTATGTGATGTATTTTCATTGCACATAAGTTCAAATACACAAACACAACTCATTTACTAATTCTACCCAATTTTAAAAAAAAAATTGGGATTTTTGTGTGTTGGATTTGCAGTAGGATGCTGTACAACTTCAGAGCCCATATTGTCAACTTGGGGTGTGCAAAACTGGAAAATTTTGCAATATGGCTGTTGTATAACTGTGATACTATTATTGTGATATTTTAAGATACTTTTTGGGTCAAGAATTTCAGTTATAATTAAACACAAAAGTACATGCTTTAATTTTCTTAAATTAAACTGTCTAAAAGAATGAGAACCTCGCACATTAATACTTGAGACTGGTGCATTAGAGGAGAGGGAGCAAGCAGCCCAAGAACATTGAGAAAAATCCCGCACACTGTCTTACTTGCAAAATGTGAGATTTTATTAGGACATACAGTACAACGTTTCAGCACTAGGCCTTCATCAGGCAAACAGTCAACAACTAATTAAACTGTCAAAATAAAAAGTTAACCAAGACAAAACCAAGTCAAGTTTGGATTAAATAAGAAAAATCATGAGTAAAATCTGATTTTGCATTGGATTGTTGCTGGATCAAGAACCTTGGTGTTATTGCAATATATTGAATTGCGATATCGATTATTGCATCAGCCAATATTGCGATATCGATACTTTTGCAATGTATTAGGCAGCCCTATTGTCAACAACAACAGGAGCATTAACATTTAAGAGAAGATTGAAATCTGAACTGATAAACCAATCCAAGAATCCCATGTATTTGTTTGTAGAGGTCCACATACAACACAATTTCTGCAAGCAGCATATCTAGTTCTTTGCAGAGAATATTCTATCATCAAAATAACTGCAGCCTTTTTGATCTGATTATGATATATTATACAGCCCAACCATTCACTCTTCTAGCAGCAATTACCCGGGGCGTGAAATTAGCAATGGAGCCTGTAAACCCAAACTGAGGGAGGTAGAAGTCGAAGTTTAATTAGCATATTGGCCGTGCGGTGTAGCCACAGAGCGGGAGGGCTACAGATCGCACAGTGAAGGCCTTCTTTAGACGCTGCTGTAGGGATCAGGAGACATAAGCACAGTTCACAGGAGGCCAAGTGAGGGCCCAGTACACATGGAACTTTTCACTTCTGCGTTTGACTGAAGCGCCATTGTGCACGTCCAGTAAAGATTCTTATTAAATGTCACTCAGTTTCCCAGTTACTGAAAGCTGATGAAACGCGCTAGCCTTTAACAGTAAGAGTTAGTAATTGTAGTAGTCATCTGCAAGGAGGTTCGTCTGATTCACTGCCTCACTTTATAAAATAATGATTAAGCACAAATACTCCAAAGCACCATCACAACACAACCAGCATGCATCTTTCTAATGAAACTACACATTGCATCTGGTTTGTGAAGTTGTAGTGTATTCTTTTGCATCATGCTTTTGCATACCTATGGAAAATTGCCATGCTGAGCAGGGCTAACGTAGGCTTGTGGGTTGAGTCTAAGACAGGATCTAACTAGCTTGATTCATCAGCGGGTTTCATTTCGTGGAAAACGTCTGATCTTGCAGCATTAGGATTCGTTCGCTCAACTGTAGGTGGGTACTTTTTTTATTTAACCAATCGCTGCTATTTTTTTGTTACGTATGTAATGCACCGCCAATGGGGCAAACTGGTATATTAAGCTTTTCCCAAATCCCGTAGGAAGAAGGGTAATAACGTCTTTCCCCTTGATAAAATTCACCAAACATTCTCTTTGTTCCGGCTTTAAATCCTTGATGTTGGGAATTGTTGCCAACACAGAATGTATGGCTCTTCGCTGATTGGCTGGTGCCCAAACACGCACTTCTGGGGTTTTTGCAAATCGTGTAGTGTATTCCGATTCCTGACCTAGTCTTCTGGAGAGAAATGAAATTGAGCCGAGGCGCTAGGTGGCACCAGACTTGCTAGGATCTAACCATAAGGAGGGTTCAGATAGTACCTTGGAGATATCGTAGTATTATTCAAACATGCATGGATGACATATAAGACCATTTCAGGCATGTATTAGATGAGGGAACTACATTATAACATAGCAGAAAGGTCCAAAAAGTCGATTTTTTAAAGTAATACGTCCTCTTTAATAACAAACATATACAAAGATTTAACATTGCATAGTATTTGTATAACACTTTTGGGACACTCAGACTGCTACATTGCATTATTTTCTTCACTTTCTGCCACTTTCTATTCACATGGTTGCCAAGCTGTGCGTCTGACCACCGCTGTCATCACTCTCCACATGTATATCCTAGCAAGAAACAAGTGCCTTGCCAAAGGACACACAAGCAGTATGCATTGGCTGTACTTAGAACCACAAACTGTCTGGTTGGTCCCTCATTAGAGCCACTGTCACCAAAAAAAGTTAGCTTGGTTCAGTAAGGAAGACAAATCTCAAAAGTCTTAACAATTAAATGTGAGAGATGAGCAAAAAAAGAAACATTGATTTCAGTGGAATTAATTCTGCCAATGTCTGAAATTTGCTGACAGATGATAGACCTAAAAGACTCAAGGTGGTCATTAACAATTTGAAACAATTACATCTCAAATCGATAAATTGCATTAATGCCACAGGCCTAATTCTAGCTTTTAATTTCATGAATAAATCAAGTCAGTGGAATTAATTAAGTCTGAATTCTTCCATTATTGAAAAATGATGGATGCAAAACGACTCAAAGTAGTAATTAGCAGTTTGAAACGATTTAATCTCAAATCAATAAATTTGATTAATACCACAATTAACAAATGTTGAAATTCTAGCTTTACTAATGCTTTTTCATGTTTAAACTAACATATTTATACATTACACTCCCAACGTCTTGTGTGTGTGAATGTGAGCAAAAACTAGATTGTGGGATTTGTGGCTTGGTTGAACCTTCACTTGAAGCTAGGTCTGTCACGATAACACATTTTAAAGCATGATATATTGCTACAGAGAAATATAACAATAAACATTATTATTTAAACTACTTAATTCCTCTGTGCCAATAACAAAAAAGCAGGATAATCCATCATTAAAAGACCCTAAGTTCCAACAAAAAATTAACAGAATGAACCAATATTTAGCCATAGAAGTCACTTATTCAACTCTGTAAAGCTCAAATTTCATTGTATTGCAACAAAAATAACAAGAATTGAGTCATTTTTGTGAACAAAATGTACAGACAAGTGTAAATATTGAGCCCAAAATTATATAGTTTCAGCTGTCATATGTTGAACTATAAATCAATATAGTATTTATCTTGACAGGCCTACTTGAAGCTACCCTTGCCTTCATCTTCTGGATCAAGCTACAAAGAGTATTTTTACTCCCAACCGTCTCCCAGTAAAAGCTTTTTGAAGCGGCTTTATTTCTGTTATTAGTCCAGGCGCAGACTTCATCCATCATACACAATGTTTTGCCTTAGAACATGGATGCATGGTGTAATAACAGACCTATCTTTGATCCGATTTCAAAGAGAGAGGTCCCGTATATGCTAGCTGGGCCCGGCTGTGGTTGGGGCGGTGGAGGTGTGGATGGCCGCAGGGCTTGTCAGTACAACCCCCAGACAGCTGTGAGCGAGAGGCACACAGAATTTTCAAAACAAAGCAACCAACTGCCGTCGAATACACCAGGACAGGAGCATGTGCTGGGAAAACAAAGAGAAGACATTTGAAATCATATCAAGCGCTGAACTTTCAAGATGGGCTGTCTGTGTGTTATCTGATCTGAAGAGGGTGCCTGCAGGACATGTCAGCTGACGGAGGAAAAAGCTAGGCTCGGTTACAGTGGAGTGTTGTGGTCTGGAGACAGCATAGAAGGTTTTTAGGTTGATAAAAAGTCAAGGCTGTCCATGTCTGCTTTCTCAGGCTAAGGCGAGATGGGAATGAAAGTCAAATTGTGATGTGATCTCTCTGATGATGAACTGTTTTGGTGAGCTTGTGATTCACTGATTTTCTTGGTTCAGACTCATCCCCACTCCTCCTGTTGGTCAACCCTCCATGAAGCTCTAGTGGATTTAATCAATTACAGTGCAATGTGAAATTTCAAGAGAAGATGATTTTTACTTTTCAATTCACTATAGGCTTTTAGTTACCATACTAGACTGCAGAGGTGGAGACTTGCAAATTGTGACTTGGGCTTGAGTCAGACTTGAGTTACTAATTTTAGGACTTGAGACTTGGGACTCGACTTGGACTTGAAGGTCTATGACTTGGGACTTGACTCGGACTTGAGGCCTGTGATTTGAGAAGACCTGATGCTTGTCCTAAAAATATGTCTTTTGAAAATACTTTTGTCTTTACAATTGATAAATGTGGTGCTTAATTTTACAGGAACAAACTGGAACATGTCCCTCCCACTTCTCTTTTTCTCTATTTGTTACTTTGGATGTAACTAAAGTACTGTGCTACTCAAAAGTACTGTATAGTAATATATAGTATAATACAGTAGAACAGAGGGAGCTACATAGAACATGATCCTTCCATTTCAGTGCATACTAAACTGCAAAATCACTTATTAAGCACTTTTAAATCTGAAGTCTTTCTATTCTGACTGTAATGATTCACACTAAGATACTGTCATGATGTTTAAAAAGGAAAAAAATTGCATTTCTACAACTCTTATATAAATATGCCATGATTTTAAGTATGATTTAGTTTAAAATTCATATACATTGCAAAAGTCTAAGCTTTATTTGGTAATTTGGTTTAAAGACTTGAAATGACTTGAAGCTCAAAGCAGATGACGTGGACTTGACTTGGACTTATGGGCCAGTGACTTGAGACTTGGCTTGGACTTGTTTGTCTTTGACTTGGGACTTCACTCGGACTTGAAGTCAAAGACTTACTTGAGGCTTCAAAACAACGACTTGGTCCCACCTCTGCTAGACTGTATAAAGAAGTGGACTAAGGGAGAGTGACTTCACCAACTGTGTTCGGCTCCAGTCAAATGACACTCACAATGTTAGGAATTGATTTATGGACAAAATAGAAATAAAAACACCAGGATCATGTAGAGCGGGTTAATACGGACATTTTAATACCAAAATGACGAGGCTTGTATAGGCTTGAAGTCGATAGTGTTCCCATGTTTCACTTCCTATTTGGTGGTTTATTTATGTCCATTTACACCCATGTATACCCATTTCTATGGTCCTGGTATAGCTCCAAGCAAATCATGAGATATATAATATATATTATATATATATATATATATATATATATATATATATATATATATATATATATATATATATATATATATATATATATATATATATATATATATATATATATAATTATATTTTTTTTTTTGGCCCAACACTAACCTTATTAAATACTATAATAATGCAGGTTGTCACACATTATGCCATATTATCATAATGCCTCAAGCCAGTGTTGTGTAGTGTTAACAAAACATGTTTTTTTTCTCTTACTTTCCTTGTCACTTTTAATAGTTCAAATATGCATGCTGTCTTAATGAAACACCCACTTTAATATGCTCAGTTTACTTTTCTGTACTCCAAATATGATAAACTGTTCTGCCATGATTCTCCAAAGTCACTAAGCCCGGTTTAATGCACCAGTATCCCCATAAAGCTGATGAATTATTGAGTGAGATCCCATGTCTGTGTGGATGTTTGGTTTGGACGCTATTGGAGAAGAGGGGCTTTTCTTCTGCAGTATAATGAAATTACTGAGCATGTGGGAGATGCACTAAGACATGGCCCATTGTCACTTGACTTTTTGATACTTTTACTTTGATATGAGCAAAGTAGCATTGTTTTGTGGCGGCTGTATGTGCGAAAAACCTCAAACCCCATAATCCATTGCTTTTGCTCATGCACCGATCCATCTTTCTTAGTTCCAGTACCAATTTCGATATTATGGTTTTAAGTATTTGCCAATACCCGATATTAACAAAAATAAAATTACGTCAGAACTGATCCAAATGTGTTATGTAGCTGTTATTTGTCTCTCTAATCTAAGCACAGAACAGCTTTGTATAAACCAGAGCTCAAACATAATTCCTCCGTTGTGACTCGCTCAGAAACTCTCATAGTTTATAACTGAGTTTTATGAGAGTAAACTAAGATAGTTAAAACTGAACAGATTTTTAGAAGGGGATGTTCAATCCTGCAAATTTTTCAATATCAATGCCGATATCTGATACTAGAGCAGCTGCAACTCAGATTTTAATTAAATTTAATTTCAATTTCAGATCACAATAATTGTCTTAGGGCTTTTTAATTGTCACATCTATCTGGCAATAAAAGCATGTTGTGGGAAAGTTCAGTGGAAAGAATACGATTTTCTTTGCTCGTGTTAAATGATACAGGAGTGAGGATTTTGACTGTTTGCAAACCTTATTATTAAAAACCATAAATATTCATTATTGATTAAAAAGATCCAATCACAAGACATAGTACTCCATCCAAACTTTCCAAATCTTTGGAAAAATGACAATGATTGCACTAAAGACCTGCAGGGCTTTTTATTGCAGAACTATGAATTTATATTGTGTTTTCTTTTCCAGTCCAAACTAAACATGGAGAGACTGAGCAAGCCGGAGCTGCTGATGCTGTTCAGTGTCCTGGAGGGAGAGCTGGAGGCCCGGGATCTCGTCATCGAAGCCCTCAAGGTAACCGTCACCTGAGATAACATCATTAATTGTATTTATTTATTAAAAGGAGAATAGATTAAAAGACAAGATAATACAAAAGAAAAATATGTACTTGTGAATGTGCAGGATTGTAGCCAAAACTAATTTCCATCTTTAGTCAGGCCAGCCACATAACCCGCACGATTCATAAAACATGACAAAAGAGATAATAACAGCTTCCACATGCGTCTCTCACTCATACACACTCATACACTCTAAAACACAGGCGTATAAACTTACAACTTTAGTATTAAACATAAAAATGTCAGATATACAGTATGCTCTCACTGCATACACTAACTTTAGGCTATTTCTGGATAGGCATGTCCCAAATTTTGAAGTTCAATATATTGCTGAAGAAAATATAGGCGATAAATAAATAAATATTGAAATTAATTTATGCCACTGACACAATAAACCCAAAGTAGGATTAAAAAAACATTTACGACTACATTTACAATTTTGTTCAAAAATCATGAGCTGTAATAAATGGTAGAATGAAACACTTTAGTACTTAGTTTTTATCTACAATATAATGAGTCATAGAAGTGATTTATTCAACCTTTTATGGCCTAAAGGTGCACTCTAACTTTTTGGTTGGACTTCGTCACTTGCTTGTTTCTATGGAGATGTGACTGCTCTGCCTGAAATGTTCCACAGTATGACATTAAACAGCTATACTTTATATTTATTTAATTACAGGTAGTTTTATAGCTCAAAAATACCTGGAGAAACGGCCATTCTGATCTGTGAGCAGGGTTCCCTCTCCACAGATCAGACCTGCACCTTGGCCTGGTTTGGTCTCCATGAAGAACGAACGGTTTAATACAACACTGTGAAACATTCCAGACAAAGCAATAACATCTCCACAGAAAAATTATACAATGTGCCTTTAAAAAAAAAAAAAAAAAAAAAAAAAAGGGTCCAGCTTTCATATTGAACTCTAACTCTATATAGTAATTATGGTGACAGGCCTCTTTCCGGGACATACTAAATGAAAGCTTCAAGTGTTAGTTAGAGTCAAAGAGCAGCTGTGGTCTGGTCTGTCTTATGTCATTTACAAAGCCCTACGCAGGTGTCAGGTGTACAGAGCACGGAGGTATGTCAGAGCTGACGGCCAGCAAATTTAGGTAAACCTTAAAGTGTTGGAAAAAAAGCAGAGAAAAACCACAGGGAGGCCTCCAGGGCAGCTTCTGTAGGGAAGATTAATTATTGGTTGAGTTGGGTTTGAAAACTGTTTTAACAAGTGTGTAAATATCTCTTAGTGGAGGACCAGTAATTACAGGGTCATACGAGCAGAGATGGACATTTTGGTTTGGGCTGCTAACTTTGTGATTTGTGGTACAGCTTAAAGTAAAAGGTTCAAAATCTGTAATTTTTGCGTTAAACTCGTCAAAACAATGCCCGACATTTTGCTTTAAAAAGTAGTTTTGGCATAGTTTCTCACTTTCTCAGCTCAAAGAGTGACTTTTTTCATGACTTTTTATTGTAGGCCTCTGTGGAAGTTTTTTTTTTTTAGTTTTTTTTAAAGATATTCCAGCATTTAATCATCTGAACATTTTATATATCACTATCCCAGAAAAAAAAGCCCGACTGATTACTATTTTATACTTCGGATCTAAGCTGGTTGGGCATGTGAGGGTGGTCCAGTCTGCTTTTCCATCTCAAAATGCTGCCCTAACAATTTCGTGAAAAAGTCATGCATGTGAATACTAGGTTGTGAGAGCTACAGAGTTGGAACAGTTTAAACCATTTCCTCTGTTCACGGTTTGAAAATCACATAACCAAGCCTTAAAATAAGCGTATTATACATTCTTGTGGTTTTAATTTGCGTCTTTCGGTCGCATTAGCAAAGGTATTTCATATTTTCTTAAACTTAAAATAAATGAAGCATTGGGCTACAGGATTGCCATGCTAAATAAGCCATGCATCTGTTGTGAACACAATTTGACCACAGAAATGCTCAGAACAAATGATGGCTTACAGACTTAAAAACTGAGCTGGAAAAGTCTGGATTTTTACCTGTGATGCAACTATCCTGGGAAAATAGAAACAGAGAAATTTTTGAGGTTCATAGCAGGGCTACGTTGTAAAGAGGATTGATGAAGTGCGAATGAAGCAAAATACAACTCCAGCTATGTTTTTGAATTATGGAAATTAGTGGGAGATTCTCCAGTTTGAGCAGTAACAGTATGAATAATAAAACCTGAAAAAAGCTGGATCAGGCTAGAGATGGATGGGTTGATTATGGGTTTTCTCATGGCCAGTAAAGATTGTTTAGAATCCAGATCATTTCCCCCAGAGAGATTTGTAGTCACATTTTCAGCAGTTATCTTAATCTCAAGTGTTCAAGTAAAGCTTTCTGCATCTTCTTTAAGCACCATATCGGTTGAAACTAAAGCAAATATCGACCCGACATATCTAAGCCATGTTACAATGTTATTACCAAATCAAAAACAATACCCGGAGATGTGTTTTGTTTCATCCACTCTCCAAATCATTCTCATTCTCCAAATCTCAAAATCCTCTGTTTCAACTTGTCACGATGTCACAAAGAGGTAGTTTTCAAGTTAACGACTTCCTTTTACCTTCAGTTCAGTAAAGATGGGAAATTCCACGAGTAAAATCATCCAAATGATTCTAGTGAAGGTGTTTAGAGTGTTTAGAGGAGTTTAAAAACACAGTGGAGCACTTCCTGTATTACCACATGACACAGACTTAATATGCAGGGTGTATGTGTTAAACAAACGTGAATGAAAACACAGCTCCGGGTATGTTTTTGATGAGGAAACAACATTATAACAGTCTACAGAGATAAGAAAATAGAGCAGTATGGGTCCTTTAACTTGTGAGCTGCGCGTAAATGCTTTCACAGCCTCTCAAAGCGTGACTGAATCCCTAACTGAGCCTTTGGCGATCAGAGTCTCAGCTGAATGTTGCAGTGTTGTGTCTAGGCTGCATTCCTCCATCTCTCCAGGGGTATGACCATCTAAGGCCAGAGGAGTTACAGCACCGGGCGCCTGATGACTCAATGAGAGCCGGGGCCCAGAGAACAAATAAACATTGGCCTTAAGTGGAGCTGAGGGCAGGGTGCGTGTGCGTCGCTAATGCCTCCCCCGCTAGCACGAGCGCTTAACTCTTTCAGGGCCGGGGTCAATGGTGATAAGTGTGTCAAACATCTGGCTTCTCTCCTAAAATAAACCCAAAGGGAAAATGCTGAATGGAAAGTTAAATAGAAAGTCTTTTGTCATGGAAGGAAATGTATTTTATTTGGTGATTTTTATTTCTTTATTTCTTTATTTTAAATTTTCAAAATAAAGATGCATTGTTTAACTTTTCTGGTGGAGGGTTCGTCAATGCTTTTCTCCATGGAGATATTATTGCTTTGTCTGGATTTTTTCACAATATGGTATTAAACCTTTCTATCGTCATGGAGACCAAACCAGGCCAAGTTACAGGTCAGATCTGTGGTGAGGCAACCCCGCTCATAGTCAGAATCCCTGTGCTTGCACCGATCCAGCTTTTTCAGTTCCTATACCAATTCCGATACTATAGCTTTAAATATCAATATAAAATAAGACAACACTGATCCTAATGTGTTATGTAGCTCTTATGTAGCCCACAAGTAACTTCTAAACAGCTCTGTGTAAATAAAATATCAAACATTATGAGACTTTCTGGGCCAAATATGATGCATCTTGAATAAATAATCCAACCAGGAAATCTGCTCAACTAATATTTGGAAGCTGATATCGCATCCAGCAAATTTTTCAGTATCTACGCCAACTTCCGATACCAGTATTGGATCGGTGCATCTCTAGTTTTGCCAAAGTGCATGGTTCTGGGCTGGTAATGGAGTTTTGGCTCATGATTGTATTGGCTTGTGATCAACATCAAAGTAGGGTAACTGATAACTTTACTATCAACTCAGAAATGTAAGCAAGATGAAATTTTTAGGTTGAGATTTGAGTTAGCGCTCCCTTTAGTCGGATAAATACAAGCTTGAAGAAGAAAAAAAACAACTCATACCTTCCTGCCTCTGCTGTTAAGGAATTCACCCAAAGTGTTCTTATTCTCACACTGATAGTTATCTACAACAGAACTGCCTGTAATTTTAGTCCCAGAAGTCAGAGTCATGCTGCTTATACTGGACTAAATCGATGTGTAACAAACCACAGTGTCATGTGAACACCGATTAGTCACTATGGCTATGACAACAGATAATTGACTTTAAATTGGACCCATTGTACAGTTCCTCCAAGAAAACTGTGATACCATTTTTTCTTATGAAAGACCTTTACTCTGACCCAGTACTGCACTGGGCCTACGTGCTGCAGATAAAATAAAATTAGATTTCCACAATGAGAACTCTAGGCGGCCAAGGTTTTGTATATATAGAGAGGTCTGCTTTGTAACTTAATTTTAGCAATAGTCCACTTACACAAGAGTTTTTTATCCTGTTCCCGCCTGTTGTGTCCTTTGGCAAAACACATCTTTGGTCAGTCTGTCTACATTTCCAAAGCTCAAAATGCTCTGTTCCACCTTGTGATGTCATGAAGTGGTAGTTTTCAAGTTAACAGCTACGTTTTACCTTTTGTTCAGTAGAGATTGGCAATTCCAGGGCTATAAAATTATCCAAAGTATTCCAGTGAAGTGGCATGGAGTTTGCACTTACTGTATTACCACATGACATCACAAGGTGGAACAGAGTGTTTTCTATTGGAGAGAAGAACTCATTATGCAGGGTTTGTGTGTGGGTTAAAAGTGTGGATGAAACAAAATACAACTCCGGGTATGCTTGCGATGAGAAAACAACATTATAACATAGATCAGAAAATGGCGTAAAATGGGCCCTTTAAAATGCTAGGTTAATGATACGAGCTCTTCTATTTAATTACACAGCAGTACTATCAATGGCATCCCAAGTATTTGCCACATTTTTCCCTCGTGTGAGTCACTCTGCAGCTGCACTCTTCTCG